CCGCCCAGCCGCATCCGCCAGGTGGTGTCCATCTACGGGAGCTGCCTGGATCTGGAACTGCAGCAGCGCGCTGTGGAGTACAACGCTCTCTTCCGGAAGTACGACCACATGAGGTTCGTTTGACCCTGAACCCTAAACCAAACCCAAACTTTAAATCCTAAACCCTAATCTGAACCATAAAACCAAACACCAAACCCTGAACCCGTGACCCTGAACCCATAACCCTACCCGGTATCCTGAACCCTATAACCTAAACCCTAAACAAAATCCTGAACCCTAAACTCAAACCCCGAACCCTTAACCATAACCCTACCCTGTACTCCAAACTCTGTAACCTAAACCCTAAACCAAATCCTGAACCCTGAACCCGTAACCTAAACTCTAACCCTGAACCTTAAATTATAACCCTAACCTGAATCCTGTAACCTAAACCATGAAACCAAACCCCAAACCCTAACCCTACCCTGAACCCCAAACCCAAACCCCACAGTGCTGCCGCATGCGGCCCAAACCTCTGCCCCACCACACACACATCTGAATGTCAGCGACCCTGTGCCATCGGGGGAAATCTGGGGAGCATCTGTTCCCTGCTATGTGCCCAGGGCTCGCCATTTTCTCATCTCTCTCCCAGAAGCCTCTTGGGAAAGGCCTGGCGTCACCAGGAGGGGATTCTGTGGGGACACCCTTGCATTCTGTCCCCTCAGGGCTGCCATCTTGGAGAAGATGCCCCTGGTGGAGCGGAGTAGCCCTCAGGCTGAAGAGCAGCCCGAGGAGGAAGGCCGAGGAGCCTCCCCTACCCCCACAGAGCCCAAGGTGAGGCTCTGGACACTGTGATGCGCTTGGGAATGTGCTCAGTCCTGCATCCAGCCTTCACCCTGTGCCCCACCCCGCTCCCACCTCCCCCAGGCCTCAGAGCTCTTGAACCTGCTCGATCTGCTGGATGACAGTTCTGGGGGTGCCCAGCATCCTGCTCCCCAAAGTCCCTCCCCGGGAGATGCTGTTGGATGCCTCCCTGCCATGCCTGGGGCTCCTCCACCACTGGGTAAGAGCACAGAGGGGGAGAGGGGACATCTCAGAAGGCTGGGCCTGCAGGTGGGGTGGGAACATGCCTGATGCTCGTGTGCCCCCTTCGCCTTTCCCTTTCCCAGAATGCTGATTCAGTCACACACACACACACCCTCTTGGGTGCCCTTCTGTGCCTCCCCTTGGCCTGCAGGGCCCGTTCCCTCATGCCACACACCCGCTGTGCACTCCTGACCCCCATCTCAAGCCTTAGCAATTCATGTCTTTTGCATGGGATGGTCCTCTCCTTATTCTCATCTCCAGGTCTCGGCTGAAATGTCTGATACCTTCTCCAACCACCACTCCCCTCACCCCCCAGCTGCCATCGTTTTATTTCCTTCCCAGCAGCCATCGCCGTTGGTTCTGATCTGGCTGGCTTTCTAGTGCTGGCTCTCTCCTGCTGGGCTGTAAGCTCTCCTCAGCCAGGGCCTCGTGCTCCCGTCTGCATTATCACCAGCAACTGGAGTCCTGGCTGCCACGAGACAGGTGCTCAGCTGAGCGTTGCTAAGTGGCTGCCTCTTCCTCCTCTAGCCCCCATCCCAGACCTCAGAGTGTTCGAGCGCCAGGGACTGCGGCTGACTCTGTCTTTCGAGCGACCCTCTGGCGTCCCTGCCCTGCTTTTAATCACAGCCACTGCCACCAACTCTTCAGGGAGTGACGTCACCCACTTCGTCTGCCAGGCTGCTGTGCCCAAGGTGGGTATTAGAGTCCAGAGGTGGCGCAGGCATTTCGGGGAGAGAGGCCATTAAACGGGGAGAGGTGAGAGATGGAGAGGAGAGGAAGGGGAGGGATTTGAGCTGTGCTCAGAGCGGACCAGGGAGGACTGGCCATTCCAGAGGTTGTCGGAAACCCAGCAAGCTGCCTTGTTGGGCTTGGCCCAAACCTCCCTTCTCCAGAGTTTCCAGCTGCAGCTACAGGCCCCTAGTGGGGACACACTTCCAGCTCAGGGCAGCCTTCCCATCACCCAGCTCCTCAGAGTCCTCAATCCTACCAAGGTGAGTTCCCAGAGCACCGCAACCCCCTCCCTCCCCCCCCAAACAACCACTGGATTAAGGGCAGGAAGACACCCTGGGGCTAACCCTGGCCTTGGCTCCCCTATTCCTAGGCTCCCTTGCGGCTAAAACTGCGCCTCACCTACAACCACTTTGGGCAGTCGGTGCAGGAGGTGTTTGAGGTGAACAACTTGCCCGCGGAGACCTGGCAGTAGCAAGCTCGGTTTCGTGGCCTCCACTCCAGCTGCTTGGAGCCTGCGCCCGAGGGCTACCAGCAGGTGGCGCTGTGGCCCGTGCTTCCATAGGGCCCGCCCCCTCCCCCACCGATCCTGAAAGCCCAGTGGAAGGGGAGGGGGGGGCGAGAGCCATACTGGGGTCTATTTGAGATTTAAAACGTCTACGCCTACCATAAAGGGAAGAAGTGTTCTCACACAGGAATTTCTGTATCTTCCTACGCCTTTAAAACCTGATCAACAAAGGAAGGTTTTTCTTTCCGCCCCTCTGCAGCCTGGGGAGTGGGTTGCCCCACACGTCCAGGGGAAGCCTCCACAGGCTGGGGCCGGAACAGGGCACCATTGCAAAACCAAACCAGAATTTCTCGCTTTGCAGCAGCAGCAGCTCCCACTTTGTTTCTCGGGAGCCTACTGCTATTCCCCACACCCCACACCCCAGGCGGGGAAATCCCTGCTGCCGCCCTCCTCTCTAACTCAGCTGTAAGCCCGGGTAGGAGCCTCTGGCAGAATCAATGGCATCGACCAAGGGAGGGGGGGTGGCAAGGGATTTTCCTGTGCTTAACTACTGATCACGGCTAAGTGGAAATCCTATAAACACGAGCGGAAATCAATGGAGGCTGCTTAGCGGCCAGGGGAGAGGGGCGGTCCACAGATTGCATCTGACGGATGAGGGAGAAGAGGCGGCCGGGGAGGATTCAGGGCAGAGGAGCTCAAGGTAAGCAAAGGAGTCAGCAGGGCCGGGGAGAGTCAGGAGTTCCTTGTTGGAAGAGAAGCCAGGCTAAGCGGCCCCGTGAGCTCAGGCAAGAACCCCAAACTCTGGTCCTCTGGCCAGTGACACTCCTAGTCTGGCTGTTGAGTCCCTGGGGGCCTCTCTCTGGCACGCTTCACTTTCAGCAGGAGTTGGTAGTGCTGGGGCTGGAAACGCTGCAGGTAGACGATCAGCTTGGCGGGTGGTTTCTCCAGGGCCTGTACACCTACAGACGGAAGCACCATGAGGACAGAGGCCGAGAGGGCCAAAGGCTCAGCCTGCACCCTGCCCACCCAGCCAGGCCCAGGGGGTTCAGAGGCACCCACCCGACCGCTTGTCTGACCAAAGCCCTTAGGGGCCAGTTGAGAGGTCTGGTGGGCTAGCCAAGCCTGAGCCCCTCCAGCGAGAAGGCACCCATGGTGACAGACACACAGACAGGCGCGCGCGCGCGCACACACACGCACGCACAGTGGCCGCAAGTGTGGGTGGTTTCTGTCCCCACCCCACCCCCACACCCGTCAAGATTACAGCCCGTCCTAAGGCAGGCCAATGCTCGTTAGCTGAGTAATGAAGCATGTGCGGAGATGCCCAGAGAGCATGGGAGGAGAAGGAAGACCAGAAGCTTTAGCCTCGGGCCGGGTCCACATAGTCTACCCTCCATCTGCCGTGGGGTGGCCTGCTGCCCAAAGTCAGTGGTCAGCAGCGGCTGGCAACATGATGGACATACATCAGGAGGGCCAGTGTCTGCTGAGAAGGCGACAGCTGTTGAAGGCCCTGTGGGAAGGCACTGCCCTGCACTTGGGTGGATGAGTGATCTATAAGGGAGCAGAGCCTAGGAAACGGAAACGGAAAAGCCGCCAGCCTACCAACACACTTCCGTCTCATGCAGAGCCAGCAGGACAGACTAAGTGAAGATCTAGATGGTTGTGAGAATGAGAGGAGGGAGAGGAGGGGACAAAACCCCCCAACTCCAAACTGGCTGCCGGCAGCGAGTCGATTCTGGCTCCTAGTGACCCTATAGAACAGGAGAGACCTCCCCCCACCCCAACCTGGTGGGTTTCCAAGACTGTAAATCTTTAGGAAGCAGAAAGCCTCATCTTTCTCCTGAGGATTGGCTGGCTGGTGGTGTTGAACTGCTGACCTTGCTGTGTTGGCAGCCCAACGCATAATCCGTTACTCCCGCAGGGTGCCCAGAAATAGATAAAAACTAAAAAGTCCATCCTGACTCCTAGCGACCTACCTTATAGGACAGGGTAGAACTGCCCCTGTGAGTTTCTGAAACCATCACTCCAGGGGAGGCTGGAGATGGACTGGCATCAGCCGTATGGAACGGAAAGAGATGTGCAGTGGTAGCATTAGGAGATGAGAACTAGGTGCAGGGCAATACCAGGAGCAAGAGGACGGAGCTGTGGAAGGGTTAAGTCCAGCTGGACAGCTACTATAAAAGCAAAGGAAGCCAGGTTGGGCAAAATGACTGGGTCCACCAGACCAGGGCTAACACAGTGCCCATTTCAGAAAGGACCCAGAGATCCTCCCCTATGGCATAGTCCAGTGAGGGATCTGGGGGCAGAGGGGCCTGTTTCCCTCACCAAGCAGGCTGCTCAGGCTGTGGATCTTTTCCAGGGCCTGTGGTACTTCGGCTTCCTCGTGCACCAGGGCCTCCACTTCACCCACGGCGTAGCCAAAGTCCGCTGTGTCCAGGTCCACCCTGAGTGGGGACTCCTGCTCAGCCCCCAAAAACATCAGCTTCCAGGAGCTCCGTGTAGTCACAAAACTAGCTACCTGCTCCAGTCCCAGGGGACCTAGCATGGCAGCCACACCTCCAGTCCCCTGACCCTTTGTCCCCAGAACCTCACAGAGCTGGGCCACGATTGCAGGCCCCTCTGTGAGTTCCCTGTACTCTGTGTGGGCCCCCGAGACACCTGCTGCCCCAAGAAACTTGAGTTCCCACCCACGACCCTCTCGGTGACGCAGCCAGTGGTCAGCCCTCATGAGGTCCAGCTCGGGGGTGTCATAGTAGCTGTCTCGGAAGGTGATCTGGTGCTCCAGGATGCCCCCCAACTCCTGCAGCCGTTCCTCGGTGCCAGGTCCCGGGACGAACTTGCGCTCCACCTCAATCGAGCCAGGGGCCATGTTAACCGCAAGCTGTCAGTGAGCAAACATTCACCGAGGAGCGCAGAGTCGGTGCCGATCTCTACCGGGAGACAGCTCATCAGGGTCCTGGGAAACGTGCCAGGCAAGAAACAACCATGTCACATTGCTCACTGGTAGAATTCGCTACTGGGGCTGTTGCCCCTTTCCCCTGCCACCAGTGAAGGATGGCCCGGTCTAATATTTTTAAGGCTGCCCACTATGTGACAGGACTCCAGCTAAACCCATTGATAATGTGTTCAGCCCAAAACTCCCGCTCGAACGGCCGACCCCGTGGCAGGCGTCTTCCTTTCAACACGCCCCCTGTACCTGGGTGCCCCGGTGCCTCCCAGGAGCACCGCGCCCTTGCCAGCGCTGCCCCGGCGCGGAGCCTGGCTCTCACCTGGAAGCCCGGTCTCCTTCTCGCGGGACCCGGGGTTAGGGGAGGGCGCGCGCCGCGCCGCGCCGCGCCGCGCCCGCGAAGGATGCCGGGAGAGCTCCCGGCTCCGGCCCTCGGCCCCGCGTCCCCGCACCAGCGGCCATGTTAGGCCCGATACGGTGGTGCGGAGGGCAGAACGCTGCCCGAGGGCTCGGTGGTGGAGAGGTGTGCCCCCGCCGGCAGCGGGCAAGGGAGCGAGGCCGTCACCTCGGTGCTCTGCGCCCTTCCAGAGCCTTCCCGGTCCCCGAGGGTCGGCCCGGGTCGTAGGCCTCAGCTGGGCCTGGGGCCTCGGTGCATGATGGGAGATGTAGTTCGAAAGGGAAACGGCCCTCGCTCCCGCCCCACCCCGTCGCTATGGTGACAAGAAGCTGCAGTTGGTGCCGCAGGGCTCAGCCTTCAGCTGAGCTCACGCTGCAGGTGGGCCGTTGGGAAGGGGGTGGGACCTGGTCGCCGAGGCCAAAGCGTACCAACATTCACTCAAGCTGTTGGCCTACGATGGGCCTCTCCGTTCAGGCCATGGGTAATGGCCTGGAAAAGGGATAACTAAAACCGGGTAGGTGCCCTGCTCAGGGCTGCTAACCACGAGGTCAGCGGTTCAAAATCACAAGCCACTCCTCAGGGGAAAGAAGTATTTCTACTCCCTGAAAGAGTTACTCTCTGAAACCCATAGGGGCAGTTCTACTTTGGCCTATACTATAGGGTCACTTTGAGGCAGGGATTGATTTGATGGCAGTGAGGGGTTTGTTCATTTTTTAAACTAACGTAACCTCTTGGTCAGTTTTGTCGTCCCAAGAAGACCTGATCTATTTTGTGAGTTATAAAAGCCAATGGCGGGGGTGGGGTGGGAGGAAGAACTGATCCCAAGGGCTCAATGGAAAGCCAATGTACAGAAAAGGACGAGGGAATGAAAATATGTACGAATATGTCGGATACAACTGATGTGTGGTTTGTAACAAGAGTTGTAAAAGCCCTTAATAAAATGATTTTTTTTAAAAACTTTAATTTAAAAAAGAAAACCAGACAGCATTGATGACCACCAAAAAATGAAAAAGGCCATCAATGGGGCAGACCTCACAGCTCGATAGACGGGAAGAAACGACTCCGGACCAGATGCCCCGTCAGTTGACTCCCAGCTCCTCTTCGGGGATGTTAGGTTTGGCGGAGCTACGCTAGTTGCGAGTGAAAATCGAATGGCAAACGAAAGCACAGTAGATGCAAATGGTAGTGCCCTCCTTCCCGCTCACCCCTGTGAACTTGGGGGCTTTACGTTCCTTAAGAGAAGAAGACGTCCGCAGCTGATGTACCGGCTCCAGGTGACGCTCTGCAGCAGATCACAGGTTAAAGTCCTGGAGCTGTTACTGACCCCGTGACCTTGGGCCTGTTAACTTGTTTGCGCCTTCGTTTCCTCAACTGTAACATGGGGTTCATAAATACAGTCTCTGCCTCTTAGGATTGTGAGCGTTGGGGAAAGTTCGTGTGTGTAAATTGCCTGGGATCGTGGCTGCGCACGCAGTCAGCCTTCGCAGTTGTGTTATTTAGAACACAGTCCAGCTGGCGAACGGAAGACGGCGAAGAAGGAAGCCGCCGCAGTGAGTGTGATGGCGTGGAGGGGACCGCCGGTCCAGGAATCGCTGTAGAGGAGAAGGTCCTAGTTCCCAATCCGGAGGGAGCGGGGAGTAATGAGGAAAGAAGAAAAGCAGTGCGGGGAAGCCTCGGGTGCTCTGGGAAGCTAGTGGAAGGCCGGGCTTGCTCTGGAGAGGATTTAAAAACAAATGTATAGTTTGAGGAGGAGGCAGGAGTTTGCCCGCTGGCAGGCACGGGCTCCAACGCGGTGCCCGTGCCAGGAGCGACCCGCCCACGGAGCCTGCGCCCCCGCCCCCCCCCCCCACCGCTCCCCGCCGGCCGGCGGGGCGGGAGAACTACATCTCCCGGCATGCGCCGCGGCGGGCGGGCCGCTGCACCTGCTCAGTGGGGCCGCCCCGGGCGCCTGGGTATTGATTATTCCATTGTGTGGGACGCCTGGGCTCCAGCCAGTGAATGAGGCGGAGGAGTGAGGGCGAGGAGGAGGAGGAGGGCGAGGAGGAGGAGGAGGAGGAGGAGGCAGGGAGCGAGCGAGTGCCCAGGTTGAATCAATGGAAACCCCCTCACGAAGCCGGGAAAGCACTTCAGCCGCAGCCAAATAGCATTGATTATTTTCCTTCACTTCGCTCACCGCCGCGAAGTTATTTATTTATTTTTCCATCGCCGTCCCCGACGCCCCAGAGCGAGCGCTGGAGGGAGGGAGGAGGAGGGGAAAAATAAGGAATCAACACAGCGGCGAAGTCCCTTCCAAGAGCCGCCCCCTCCCCTCCCCGCCTCGCGCTGCTCGGCGGCCGCGGTTCGACTCCCGTCCGTGCTTCCAGCTGAGGTGTAAGTGCATCGATTTCCGATGCTGCTGGGTTGTGTGTGTGTGTGTGGTTTTTTCCTCCCCTCTCCCTCTCGCTCTCTCCTTTCCTGCCTTGCTCTTCGGAAGCCCGAGACCGAGGGGAGAGGAGGCGCTCGGAGACTGCCGCTGGCGGCGACGGAGCGGGACTGGAGGGGGCTGGGGGAGGGGGCCCGGACGGACGGACGGACGGACGGACAGACTGACCGGACGCCCGAGGAGGAGGAGGGGCAGGGCTGGGGGAGACAGGGCTGCGGGCGGGCGGGCGGAGAAGGGTGGAGGGAGAGCCTGGGAAGGGACAGGCTTCCAAGCTGGCCCAGGAGCCCGCCGGCCGGCGGAGGGGACGAAAGGCTGGACGGGCGGCGCGGAGCTGTGCGGGGAACTGGGGTCCCACAGGGAAGGGGAGGCCGGGTGAGTGCGGGGGTGCGTGGAGCTGTCAGCCGGAAGGGAGCAGGGTCTCGGTGGTCCCCGCCAGCCGAGAGAGGAAGGAAGCTTGGAGCCGCCGCGGGTGGGCTGATGGATGGGCGCTCGTGCTGGGGGCGGGGGCGGGGGGCTGCGCAGAGACCCTCGATGTTTCCCTTAAGTTGAGTTGCTTTAGGAGGGGAACGGTTTGAGTAGGTGAGGAGGTGCCACAGCCCCTTGCAAGGTGAAGCGTGTCTGTCGGTGGAGACCCCCAACTAGATCCATTCTTCCCCTTCGTGGGGGTGGGGGCCGCTGGCCTTTCTGGGCACTCCCCACGCCTGTAGCCCCGCCGAGCTCTGCCCATGTGGCCCTGCCACTGAGTTTTCCCCATGCATCTCGTCTGTCCCTGTCTGTCTCCGCATGACCCTTCCCATCCAAGCGAACCTCCCCCCGTGTCGCCCCCATCACTGTGTGCCCTGCCTTAGCCGGTTAGGACTGGCCCTCTCCTTCGGGGTCTTGTGTGGGTTTCTCTGACCTCCGGGCTACTTTGGAGTGTGCCTGTCAGCCCTGAATGTGGTCTCCCCGGCCAGGGAGCAAGGAAGAGTAGGGTGACGGAGCAGATGTGTCTCCCCAAGGATTCCAGTATCATGCTCTCAGCACCACCACCCCCAGGAGGGCCTCCTCTTCCACCTTCACCCTGGAACTTCAAGCTTTGTTAACTGCCCCCTTCGCCATGTACTGGTCTGGTATCCCCCATTGGGACCTTGCCTGTCTAGCCCCTACTCTCTTGCTCCAAGAGCTTCCCACCACAAATCTCTTCCTCGCTGGCATAATTTTTCTCCCTTCCCCCACTTGATCATTGCAGACTTCATTTCCTCATTTTGTCTTTCTTGCTCTCTTTCTCTCTCCGACTTCCTTGCTTATTCTTCACCTTTGTTCCTATAATCTACCTACTTCTTGCCTTTTCTCTTTTTGGTCACCCCAAGTCCCTTTTATCTCATGTTCTCTGACCCAGCATCTCTGGTCCCAAAGAGCACAGGGCCAGGGGTGGCGGGCAGGGCGTGATTTGTGAAGGCATATAAACAGGCCAAGAGATCAATTTAATGAGCTTCCAGGGGCATATCACCCCTTCATCAGGCAGTGCTACTACGTCAGTTAAGTGTCAAGTTTGATTTTGCAAGGGGACCTTCTCCTTGACTCTGAGCTCCACGCTGCTGGCTGGCTGCCCCCCTCTGTGGCTCATTCTTGATGGCAGTGACTTACTCTTCACTTCCTGGGCCTATCGTCTCACTCAGCTGCTACGAGCACATTTATCTGCTGCATGATTGAGTAGGCAGTTGTTACTCGTGTGGTGAATGCTGCCTTCTGCAAGGGGCCGGGCCCATGCAGCCTAACGGATAGTGAAGGTGCTACAGGGTCTGGGGAGTCTGCTGTGGTCTGGAGCCCACCATTGTCCTTCCAAGCCTTGAGGAGCTGGAGAGAGTGAAAGGAGGAGGTAGCTATGGGCAGAAGATGGAAGCTTTCAAAGGTGAACAGAATTAGAGAAAGGAAGGGGCGGCCGGGCACAGCACACACATGGGGTAGAGGCACGCATGAGTGAGGCGTGTGCAGAGGAAGGGAAGGCCGTCTTTGCGGAAGGGGAGCAGAGAAGGAACTGAGGGTGGGTGGTCAATGACAAATCGGGAGGGTGAAGTAAACGAGTTCATCGCTCTACAGAGGGAGGCGAGCGGCACTCTTAAAGAGGGGTCCACAGATAAAGCAGTCTGCACGCAGGGGAAGGAAGGTGATGAATACGGCGAGAGGGGAGGGGGTACAAAGAAGGGGTATGATGGCTGGAGGAGGAGTGCCGAAGCAGATCAGAGCTGCCCGGAGCGTGGGGGGGCAGCGAGCCTGAGGTATCAAAGGGAACAAATGCCTGTGTGTGAGCAGGACACAGCGTGACGTGATGCAGGCCACGAGAACTGCAGGAGGGGTGATTTGGGAGGGGGGAGAAAAAAGACATAGCACAAACACCCCCGGGTGATGCCCCAAAAGAAAGCGACGCCAAGTGAGAGGGGGTGAGGGAAGAGGACCCCACTGTGTTATTCCTGTGGCTCATCGCTCCCACCACCACGAAAGCCTTGGCACTTCATGCCCAAGCCCAGAGAAACGAGATGGAAAAAGAAGTAGAATTTCCATTCCTTTGACTGACAGGAACATGAATCTTCCCAGCCCCCTGAGAACCAAAGACCTCAAGCCTCTGATGTCATAAATTGCTGGTGTTGCCTTGGCAACCTGACAGGGTTCCTCCCTCCATGATGTCAGAGGCAGCTGGTGTTACCTTGCGACCCATACGGGAACAACTTGCTGCTTTGCTGAGGAACGGTGTCTCCCGACTAGGGCCCGGGTCGGAGCCCAATCTGTACCATCCCTGGCTCTGGTAGTTTGCCCTTGTCTCCACGGGGCTCTTCTTCACTCAGAACGAGGTCCTCCGGTTCATAGAGGCTTCAGGTTCATGGGAGCCTGTCCGAAGCAAGACGAGGGATCAGAGGAGCCAGGACATGAAGGACCATGAACAGGATGGTAGGACTGAAAGGCTGGCAGGGAGAACAATGAATGGCAGGCAGTTAGCCGGATATGAAAGGAGCCAGCCGGGCTTTGTGAGCAAGAGGCAGTTAGTTCCTGAAGGTGTAAGGTGAACCTGGCTTAGGGCTTAGGGGTGGAGGCTGAATCTGGAAATGTAGACTCAAGGAGATCAGAGCTGAGAGTATACACTGGTGCAGGGACAGGGAATGGAAAGGCTCTGGAAGGCTAGAGGACACTGAAATGTGGATGCCGGGGAAGGGGAATGTTGGGAGATCCCGGGTTAGTCCTTATTGTTTTAGAAACAGGGACCAGGTCTGGTTGCCTTCGGTTGTTTCCCAGAGCCTCACATGCCTAAGAACTACCTCCTAAACCCAATGTTGACTGAAGCGCCGAGGAAAAGGGTTGCCATCTTCCTCCCCTCCCAGCATCGGGGCCTAGCCCTGCATAAATGGACAATCAGACAGGCTAGCGGGCTGTCAACCCTGATATGGAGTGACCTGAGGCTGAGGGAGGAGACACTGGGCTAACAGCACACTTGGAGGCCGCCAGGACAGCCGCTGGGGGCCGATTTGGAGATGTCTCTGACAGAGACAGGGAGGAAACCGTGAATGAGCTGTCCCAGGAGCCCTGGGAGAAGATGCAGAGGAGGGTGAAGAAAGGAGGTGGTTTCCACAAAAGGGTGGGTATTGTTTCCCAAGAGAGGCAGCAGAGTTGAATTGGAAAGTAGTATCCATACCCTATCCCCTGTCTTGTAACCAGCGTTCAGATAGCCACCATCACATAAACACCGGTCACAAATAGAGTTCATCAATCGGAACCAGGCTCATCCTAAACAGTCTGTCCCAGCCCAGGGAATTGCAAATCAGCATTGACTGGGTGGACCAAAAGGCCGAGGGAGACCCTGGCTACTGCTTCCCAGACGCGGATGTGAGAGGAGCCCCATGAGGGATGGACTTGCTGTCTGACAGCTCTTGTCAAATGAGCCCGGGGGGGCCTAGGTGACAGGGAGACGGAGATGCAGACCACACCACAGTTCTCCGAGTCGAATATGCTGACAGACTCAGAAAATCAGGGAGGATAACCAGCCCCATGCTGGAGAGCCCAAACAACCCTGAATGGGTTGACAAATCCAGGAAAAGAGAGTGAGCCCAGGGCCCTGGGGGAGAGTCCGGTTGTGCTGAGTGAGAAAGGCCAGGGCAGCTGGAGAGGGTGCTGGTGGGAGGGGCTGAAGGAGGCCCGTGGCTGCTACTTGCACGGTCAGCCACCGCCGTGGACTGGGCAGCTCGTATTTTGCAGCCGGCGACAGGCTGTCGACACGGCGGTCTCTTACCTCCCTGTTAGAAACTCATTTCATTGATTTCCCATCTTTCTTCCCTGGCTTCTCATTCTAAGCTCACCCACCTCCCCAGGGCCCCTTGCCTCTCTGGGGAAAACCTGGGAACAGCCCTCCCCGTCCTCCGGCCCAGGCTGGTGAGGCAGGGGTGAAAGGATTAGAGGTGCTTGCCAGTGCCTTCAGGTAACCCTCATTGGCGTGCAGTGCCCCCACCCCCACCCAGGAACTAGGCCAGAGAGTAGGGCCACTCCATGCCAGGTCAAGCTTTTCTCCTGGCACGGGTGAGCAGGCATACACCTGGCGAAGACACCTCCAGTTCTTAGCGAGACAGCTCTGTGCTCACGGATTTTTTCCCACTGCCTGGAGGGGATCGGTTGGGAAAACAGAGCCCTCTGTCTGGGCAGGAATATGGAATCTAACTAAAGCCAGTGTAGTGTGGAATTCCCCATGTGGATGGGGTATTGAGGGGCACCCCCTGGAGTGGTACCCACAGAGTGTAGGAGAGCTCTCTGTGGGGAGGCATGTGTGTCTGCTGTGTAGCATGTTGACTGGCGTGCAGATGGGGCAGGTTGGGTGTGGGCAAGAGAATTTCACTTGGTGTATGCTTATTTCCCCGGTGCCGCCTCCAGTCAGAGCCAACCACCCTTAGCCTCTCCCTTTGGGGCTGAGAGTGGGCTAAAGGTCAAGGGTCAATTGTCAGTCATTTGGCTTTTCTGTGAAGGAGGGCAGAGGGTAGAACTGGAGTGTTAGCGTGCTTCCCTGAGGAACTGATGGGGTCAACACCGCTTCCACCCTCCGATCTCTAGTTCCTGGCTCTGTCAGGGACCATTCCATCCCCATCTCAGGCCCTCTGCCTCTGGCCTCCTTGTTCTCTGGTGTGGTGGAGCTGTTTCTCGGATGTTTCAGGGGTCAGAATCTTGATTTGACTGCTTCCCTGTGCCCTCGGGCTTAAACACAGCTGTCTTCCGGTCTCTGTCCAGCCCGTGCCCTGCCCGGGGCTTGGGCCACAAATGCCTTGTTTCCCCTGGTCTCCAAAACCTGGTAATAAATGCTAGTGCTTAAGAAAGGAAAGCACCAAGTAGATAGACAATGTTTTGGAAATGATGATGGCAACAAATGTACAAATGCGCTCGACACGATGGATGGATGGATGGATGGTTGGTGATAAGAGCTGTACAAGCCCCCAATAAAATGATTTTTTTTTTTTAAAGAAAGGAGAGTGCTTGAGGTTAGAAAGAGAGAAGTCCAAGGAAAGTCAGAAAGGTTCAGAGTAGATTGGGTGAGGAGGAGGAGGGAGAGGAGACAGATTGAGTTTGACAGTAATTGAAGGAGCCAGAGGAAAAAACAAATAACAAACATGCGACCTCGTGACAGGGGAGAGGCCACAATGGAAAGGAAAGGCTAAAAGAGGGCAGCAGGCTCGGAGAGCTAAGAAGGAGAGGAGAGCCTGGCCCTGCAGGGAGATGGAAGACCGCTGAGGAGGAGGAGGGCCTTAGCCAGCGTGGCTGTGAGGCTTCGGCAGAAACGCCAGGCTGTGTGGCCGCAGCCACCTTGTCAGCCCCGAGTTCAAGCGCGCTGGCTTTGACCCTTGTGGGAGGAACTGAAGTGGCAAATTAACGACGATAATGAAGTCAGTGCGCCTTGTTTGTCTTTGCTGGTTTCCCCTTGAGGTTTGTCCTTTGGCCAGACGGGGCCACGTGGGGGAGGGGAGGGCGAGGGCAAGCTGATGGAGAGACGTGGCGAGGACGACAGGCTGGGGACAGCACAGGGCGTGGAGTGCCGGCCCAGGACGGGAAAGCCAGGACTGGAGGAGAGCGGCGAGAAAGGAGCTGCGAAAAGGCAGCGGAATTAGAGTGAGGAGGGGAAAGAACAATGGGAGCATCGGGGAAGGAGGAGAGGTGGGACAGAGAAATGGCAGGCTGAAGGAAAGAATGTGGCCGGTATGAAAAAGCTGCAGCTGGCGGGGGCCAGTGGGCGGGGCCTCATCTCCATCTCTAATGGCTGTGAAATGAGGTTAGCTCCATTAGAGGCAGTGAGAGTGTAAGGAGATCACACTCATTAGGGATGGGCCATCCCAGTAATTACCACCACCCCAAACACTCCTGGGCCAGCCAGACCACCGCACGCGCGCACACACACATGCACAGCTACACAGGACACGCCCGCTGCTGAGCGGGAAGGCCAGGGCCCACACAGGTATAAGCAAATGCCCCTAGGAAACCCAGCCAGAGGTGCAACACTCCACACTGTCAGGCTCTCAATCTCCGTCAATCTCTCACACACACACACACACACACACACACACACACTAAAAGGGCACTGCAACCCAGGAAATCAGGCACATGAGGGGATAAAGAACATTTTTATTTATTGATGCGCACAAGTGCCAGTCTCAGAAATGCCCATCTCCGGTGAAACAACTCTAGCGGCACTCTTCTTAATCTTCATTCTAGAAATGAATAACCAAGAAGTCATCTCACTCGTCTGGGATCACTTACCTAATAAGGGCTAGAAAACTAGATTTTGATTCGAAGTCTGTCTTTCTGGATACACTTGTGTAGACTTTCAGTCTTAAGGAACATATTCAAATACCATCCCTTCCCACCTGGGTCCCACTGCATGTGTCTGCTCTCACTCTGCCCCACTACTGTGACCCTGTGACAGTAGAACTGCCCTATACGACCTTCAAGGCCCATTGACATGATTGCCGTCCCAAGAAGCTGCAGATAGGTTCGAACTGCTGACCTTGAGCACTTAATCACTGTGTCACCAGGGCTCGGTAGTACACCTGTGCACACACACACAGGAGAATGCCAGGTGAATGGCGCCCCCTGGCATTCCACCAAACAGTGCCTGCTCTAGCCCATCTTATTTATACTAGACTCATGCAGCACCTTGGAGCTCATGGTGGAGCGTGACAGCACCCTGCCAGTGAGGGCAGAGTAGTATAAACTTAAAGATGCATCAAAAGCCCAGGAACTTACAGATTACTCCAAAACAGATGCTGGAGTCAGTCTACCTGAGTTCCAATCTTGATGGCTTTTCTTAGTGAGAGACCTTAAATAGCTCTTAACCCATCTAAATCTGTTTCCATGTCTGTGAAAAGGTATTGAGTGGCAATATCCATCGCCATCAGATTGTAGTGGTGGATTTGGTGATGGGATGCTTGAGATGGCTCGGCACAGGGCCTGGCATTCACTAGAGCTGATACAGAATCAAACAACCAGAAAAGTTTATATATAATCATTTACAATAGTATCCTTCCAAGTAATTATAGAATCACATGCAATTCCTTCCGTGCTGCAGGAAGTTAAAGGTCTAGAGAGGTCCTCCCGTGCCATGGTCAGATAGAATCCTGAGCCTGAATTCAAAGGCACTTTCCTGAGCTCTCCTATAGAAGAGTCCAGAGCTGGTTTCCTGTGGGTGTCTAGGCCCGCCTGAGGTGTATAGAATGGGAGTGCCTCTTTAGGCTGTCCGGTGCACCTGTAAGGTGCTTCCATTCCTGACCACAGGTCCCAGAAGCATCCACAGAACATCTCCACACTGCTGTCCTAACACACATTGCAGTGGAAGCCTGGGACACCCACCCTGCTCCCACCAGTAGCAGACACCCTGTAGTGCACCTTCACAAATCCATGCAAATGGGAATGGATAAAAAACACTGCATGTGGCTTCAGTCCACAGCTCTCCCCCCGCCCCAGCTTCTTCAGTTCAGTGTCCCCTATCCTCAGAATTCCTATAAAGTGTAAGACACAGCCTTCTCACTGTGCCCATCACTTAGGGGTGACTGATGTGGCCCGTGTGGTGCCCGAGCCAGGAGGGCCGTGGTGAGATTAAGTGTTTACCTGATCTACCTTCTCTTCCCCTCCTCAGGCCAGGCCTTCCCCATACACACACACTTCTTCCCTGCCTGCTCCCTCCTTTCCTTTGTCTTGGATGCTTCTGGGTTTTTTGTGAACACTTTATTATGCTTTAGGTCAAAGTTTACATAGCAAATTTGTTTGCCAATCGGCTCTTCACACACAGATTGTTCCGTGAGTGAAGTTGACTGTGGTGTATCAGTGCACCCCCTTCCCATCGCTCTGGCTGCCCCACTTCTCCAGAGGTTGCCCGTTGGGTCTGGGAGAGCTCAGAGTTCCAAGGAGCACTTTCTTCCAGGGGGTGGCTCTTTATTAATCAGCTGAAAGGTGGTCTCTGTGTCTTCAGTGCTAGAAAACTGTCTTAGGACCGCAGTCTTGGGGGTTCCTCCAGTCTCTTTCAGACTGGTAAGTTTGGCCTTTGGGGGGGCTGATGTTTCTTACCTATTCTAGTCGGGATGTTCTAGTGTAGACTTCTCTGAGTGGTAGGCAGTGGTAGGTTCTGGGTACCATCTAGTGCTAGCAGCCTGGTGAGAGGAGGCAGTGGTGCATGGGGACCGTTTGTCCTTTGTCCTAGTTGCTTCTTGAGTCTTTGGTTCTCTTCCTTCTCCTTCAGATTACTGCACTGCTCACAAGCTTTGAAGACCCCTGACCGGGATGTCGGTACACATTGTATTTAGGAATGGATTACTGCACTGCTGACAAGCTTTGAAGACCCCTGGCTGGGATGTCGGTACACATTGTATTTAGGAATGGTTTTGCCAGTTGACCTAGTGGTCCCGAGACTGTGGTCCTCAGCCTTTGAATCCAGTTGCTCAGTCCTGATAGCTAGTTTCTTTCTCCTCTCTGACACTCTCTTTCCTCCGACTGCCTGTCTGTCTTAACAGAGACTCCCTCTCTCTTTGGTCAAAACTTACTTTGCATAACATGAGCACCCCTAGATTGTAGGAGAGGGGGGAAAGAGGGCTAAAATGAGTGTTCTTGATTGTTTATGTGTAGGAGGCAAGGTTTAAAGACTGTGGAGAAAATGACCGTCCTAAAGGCAGAGAGAGGCCACAGAAGTTTCCATCCAGGTATTAGCTGCTTCTGCACACATTCTAGGTGTGGGCCTGGGCCAAACTTCCACTCTGAAGTTGGCACAATGAGGATTCTGTAAGCCTAGTAATATAAGGGCCAAGTGAGATGACCTACCGCTAGCTCCAGCAGAGGGGTATCCCACTGAAAAGGACAGAGTTGAGAGGAGGCCTCCTGCTCAAGGCAGGGCAGAAGGAAAGTTGTCAGCCTGCCTGCAAACCCCGAGCTGGCCTCCATGGAAGGAGACAACAGATGAGGTGGCTCAAGTAGCTAACTCACAGAGATTAGGCAGGTAGGAGTGTGGAGCCAGGAGTGAACCCAAGTCTTCATGAATCCAAGGTCCATATTCTAACACTGCCTTAAAAATGCAAAGTGTTCATCAAGTTGACATTCATTTGCTGTTTATACCAAACGATTCCCCTTGTGCAGGGGCACACCCGCCATCTTTCCTCGTTTCCCCTCCATTCCTCCATGACTATTTCTCTCCTTTTAGAATTATGGTCAGTACAGATAGGTGAGGTGTGGTATTTCCGTGGTAGAAGTGTCTCTTTCCACAGGGAGCCCCAGCTGGATTTCCAGCCCATGCATCTCACGCCCGGACACGGCCCCTCTGTCAGTCAGTGGAGGCTCGTGTGAAGGTTTTAGCAAAGCTTCCAGATGAAGACAGACTAGGAAGAAGGGCTTGGTGACTTATTTCTGGAAACCAGTCAGTGAACTCCATGTGGTTCACAGCAGGGCTAATTCCACTGTGCATAAGGTTACCCTATAAAACAAAAGAGGTGCCCTTTCAACATTTTGCTGCCTCCTCTTGAAAGCAACAGGCTGAGACACACCTGGGAGAAAATCCGGGGCAGAGTTGGTGTGGGAGAGAGCGCATTAGGCCAGCATCTCAGAGAGCAGGTAAGAACCGGCTCCCAGGAAGGGAGAGGGGATAGATTTAGCAATTCCAGAAGAGAAGGGCAAAAAGGCTCTGGTGTGGAAGTCCTTGTATGCAAACGTTAAGCAAATACGATGGTGTCCTCCGGGAGCCTTGACTGTAAAGCTTTTGCTGTGTTGGTGGGTTTGGGGAAAGTGAGATCGAGGGGCTTGTGAGTTTTGTTTTATGGAGGGGAGCTGCCAGGAGTTTTGTGTCCCCCCGCTGGCCTGCCCTTGATGGTGTTCCCTCTGTAACCACTAGGGAGCAGCCGCTTCTCTTCTCGGCCGCCAGAGGGGAAGGACTGTGCCGGCGGCGGGGAGCCCAGGTGGAGCCAGCCTGCCTTCTGAGCAGAGAGAACCCATGCCCTGGCTCAGCCTCACGAGCAGAACTACCCTTCTCTTTGCAGTCCTTCCTTTGCCCTTGCCCTTCAAGCCTCTATGTAGCTCTGCCCTGCTTGGTCTTAGAGATGGTCTTTGCAGCTTTCCACCTGTTTCTGTAACTTCACATCAGAGCCCTTTCCTCCTGCCCCAGCCTCGGCTTCTCTGTAGCTTCCTGGGTCCTAGTGCTTCTCCTAGTGCCTCCCTGGTTCCTTTTTGTTCTAAGCACTTTGTCTCTGCCCCTTGAACAGGGAGTGTGCCTCAAGAAGAGGGTATTCCTGTCCAGCTATTTACAGGTGTCTTTCTGCCTGGCTAAGGAGCCCAGGTGGCACTGCTGGGTAAGCGTTGGAATACTTACAAGGTTGGTAGTGCAACCCCACCTGCTGCCCACGGGCTGTCTGCTTCCATAGAGGTCTACAGCCCTGGGAGCCCAATGTACATTGGGAAGCACTGTATATTGAAATAGACTCAGTGGCAGTGGGGTGGAAGGGGGGTGGTCTTCTGCCTATACCACAGAGCCCTGATAGCACAGTGGCTAAGCACTCAGCTGCTATCCAAAAGTTTGGTAGTTCAAACCCAGTTTCTGCTGACCGAGACCGAAGAATGTTTGTAGCTCGGTGATTGTGGCCAGATTTTTGTGGGCCCCAGCTCCCTAGCTGAGCCAAGAGGGACTCCCAGCCTTCTCTCCTCATCTGGAGAAAGAGCCAGAGGCCCAGGTCTAGAAGAGGCCAGGACCCCTCCACCGCTCCAAATCCTGCCTCCTGAGCCCCTTGAGGGAATGAGGCGTTGAGAAGGGGGGTGGGATGGAGAGGCAGCCTGGGGCTGTGCAGACAGGGCCGTCTTGGAGCGGAGGATTCTTCTGGGGATGAGCGCACCCTCAGAGCCTCCCTCCCGCCCTCCCTTGGCTCCAGGCCTCCCTCCTCCCATCCCCCTCCGTGGCAGCAGCCATGTAATTTAAAGCTCTCTCTGTCGCCTCTAATGTGATCCTCTCGTTTTATTGACTCTCTCTGCCGTCTGTGGCGCCCCTTCACATCAATCTCTCTCTAATCACACCGCCGCCACCTCCTCCTCAACTCCCCTAACCCCTCTCCTCTTCACAGGCCCCCAGCCTTGCCTGCACCCAGGTCTTTCCTTTTGCCCCCCCCTCCTTCACCTGTCCTGCCCTCCTCTTCTTTCCTTCCTTCCTTCAGATGCAGAAGTGTCAGGGCCGCTAAGGGGTGGCCTCTCCCTTGGCGCTGATCTGGGGGCAGGAATTGTGGGGTGGAGGTGGGGGGATGACTTCCAGAGCCTGGCACCTGCTTCTGTGTCAGCTCCAGAAAGAAAGGAACGTGGAGTTCGTGGTAGGAAGGCCAACGAAAAGCACCAGATTCAGAGTGGGGAAGATGGAGGAGAGACATTGGGTCGAGAGTAGTGGGGTGGGGGTGGGGGATTGGCTCAGCTTAAGGTTTGCAATAAATAGTGGGAGAAGCACCGAGAAGAAACGGGTGGGGGAAATTGGTGACAGTGGGTAGGGGTGGGGAGGGAGGCACTGAGGCAGAGAGAAATTTGCAATTGAAATTCTTCCCAGAAGTGGAGGAGGGGTAGATTGGGAGAAGGGGGAGAGATTTACAATTTACACAACTGCCAAACCTATCCTGGGCCACCCAACTGGGTCTCACCCACAAGCTAGCCAGGATCCTTAGGTTTCTAGCTGGGAGTCAGCTAGCTGTCTCCCTCCTGTCCTGGGAAGTAGACCCCGTGGCGAGTCTGTCTGGGAGGTCGTGCAGGATTTGAGGTTAGGAAGAGGTCTACCTAGCCTTCCTCACATATAGCTTGGTGGAAGTGGGTGGGGGGGTGGGCTCCATCACTGGGACCACATGTGTATAGCCCTGCCGCGGCATCATCCTTCCCAGAGCTGGGGCAGTGGGGCCCAAGGGGTGGTGGTGGTGGTGGGTGTATGACAGTGGCGTGTGAGATCACCGCCATCCACTCCACAAGGATTTCTTAAGAGTAACTTTTCTCCCAGGTCTTCCAGTCTGTGCTGCTGTCCCCTGGTCATCCAGGAGAGCCTCCCCTCCAATCTAATGCCTTCATGTCCCCGTGGGGGTTCTCCCCCAAGTCCCCTTCCTTTCCCAGGTGCCCATTGGCATTTTCATTCGCATGCTAATCCAGCCACCAGGTGGGCTCTTCTATGGCTCAGACTTGAAGCCTGGCTAGCTCCCCCGGTGGGTGGTGGGGAGGGGGTGGTGCTGGACAGCCTGGGGCCTGCTGGCTGGGTGGGTCCAGACCTAAGACCTTTCCCAAATCATGGAACCTGGAGGTGAGGCTGAGAGGTGCCCAAGGAAGGAGAGAGGCCTGACTTCTCACCACTCTCCCCCGCTTCTCTGAAGCACTTTGGCCAAGACTGTAAAGGGCCAGTCACTTAAGGTGCACTGGTGTTAAGAACTAGAGAGACTATAGGTGGGCCCCTTGGAACACGGGCAGGAGCGTGGGACTGAGCTGGTGAGCTGGAGGAAGAGAATCAAGACAGGAAGGCTGGGAGCAGCATGGGAGTCTTGGTGCTTCTAGGTAGCCCAGGAATCCCAATGTCTAGTCCTTTGGAGGCTCATATTGCCTGTCCTCAGCCAATCCACTTCTAGTCCCACCCCCGTGGGGCTCTGTGGTCCCCTGCACTGCATCTTATTCAACCTCTCTGGTTCTTCGTCTACCAAATGCAGATGCTGTAAGATTAACACTTAGCCCATCGTATACTTGAGGTGCGTTTCCTAAAGATGATGCTCTAGAATGCCTGAAATTTGCTTCAAAACCATACATGATTGAGTAATATTAGTAATTACTAGTATTACTAACAACAATTAGCAAAGCTCTTAGTAATACTGTCATCTTATTCTTTCATCTGTTTGGGGTAGAGGAGGCTAATCACACATGAGCTGTTATCTATCACCTAGCCCGGGAAGCCCCCGCTTAGTCCACATGCTGGTGCCCAGAGATGGATCTAGAAGGTATCCGAGAGCAGCGTGGAGTCTCAGTGTGGCAGTCAAAATTAGCTGTGGCCAGAAGACCTTGACGTGGGAGATTTGCCTCTCCCCACCAGGAAACCAAAGGTCTCGGGGGTTGGCCATCCAACAGACACTGAGTGCATGCAGTGCTCAATGATGGAGCAACAAATCGAGCAGACTGGCTCTTTCCTACCTTCCACCAGGGGGAGATAGGTAAACAAGTAACCAGGGAATGGGGTCTTCTGGTTGGCAGCTGACAACCTCAAAGCAGGAGACATCAGACTGTGGTAAATCCTGGACGCACAGTAAGCTGCCCCAGCTGTTGGGCTCTCAGGAGAGGAAAGGAGTGGAGCAGCAGAGATCTGAATGACCAGGAGCCAACCTTGCAGAGATTGGGGGAGTTGGGGGGCGGCTGCCGCCACACTGCTGGAAAACCAGCTTGGTCAAAAGCCCTAAGATGGGGGTTGGAGGACCTGAAAGGCCCGTGGGCTGGAGAGTAGCAGGTGCGCTCAGGTGGGCAGGTGTGGGTGCAGTGGGCCCTCTGTAGCTCACGGGAAGGAGCTAGGGTTGTGTTCCTAATGCAGTGAGTGAGACCTCACTGACGGGTCTCTTTATATTTCCAAAAGCTGATTCTCTACGATGCCTGGAATTTTCTCCGAACCCTACAGGGAAGGTGGCGAGAGGGGCAGGGGCGACAAAGAGAAACAAGACAGGCCGAGGGTGTTGACTGCTGCAGCTGGTGGACGGAGACAGAGGGTTCCCTTACTCTCTGCTCTGCTCTGTGTGGGTTTGGCAGGTTTGAGACTTAAATCAAAGAGCGTTCTGTCTGCAGGGTGGAAGGGGACTAAATTGTAGGAGAACCCGAGGTCAGTTTGGAACGTGTTGCATTACTTCAGGGAAGAGACGGTCATGGTTTGGATCAGGGGGTTACTTGTAGAGCTGGAGAAAAGTGGGGTGAACACATATTTTAGGCATTGTTATGGAATTCAATATGGGGTGAGGGCAAAGAAAATGTACCCCGGTTTTTTAGCTAAGAAAGGAACAGGTCCTGGGGAGAGAAAGAGAGATCTGATTTTGGACATGTTAAGCGAGACAATAAATGAAGCTGTCAAGTTGGCGAGTGGAAATCTGAGCTTGGGGAGAGGGGGAGGGGTGGGTGGAAACACGGGACTTACAGACAGCTTAAGGGCCTGATGGCGTCTCCCCTAGGCTCACCTGGCTCTCCCCTTGTCTCCCTGCAGGGTGCTGGCTGTCACGCTGAAATGAACCTTCAGCGCTCCTCCGTCTACCATGGCCACCCTTAGCTCACCCTCCGCTGTGGGTACCACCCTTTCCCCTGGGCACGATGCCCTGGGCACCTCCTCCGCCCACACCCCCTCGGAGCCTGTCACCAAAGAGCCCCCTGCTGCTCCCTCCACCTCTGAGAGCATGAGGCCCTCGGAGCCAGGGGGGCAGCCCCTGGAGTCGGGCTGTGGCCTAGCCCCACCAAAGGAGACTGGGGACCCCCAACAGGAGCCTGGCTGTGGTCTCTTCCCACCAAAGGATCTAGGGGCAGAAGACGAGGAGGAGGGAGAAGGGCTCCCTCGTGTGGACCTAAACAACCACCTCTTCTTCACAGCCAGTGGGGAGGCCTACCTGGTGGCCAAGCTGGCCCAGGCTGGCAGCAGCGAACCCCTTTTACCAAAGGGCTTTCCCTGGGGCGAGGCAGGCGCCAGGGCAGAGCCCAGCCTGCCCCTCCTCACCCACTCTTCCCCCGCCCACCTCACTGCCCTTCACGTCCAGCACGGCTTTGACCCAATCCAAGGCTTTAGCTCTTCTGACCAAATCCTGTCCCATGATACCTCAGCGCCGCCTCCGGCTGCCTGTGAGGGCAGGGATGGAGCCTTCTGGAGCTACCAGCTGGCTCCAAACCCGCCTGGAGATCCCAAAGATGGCCTCGTGGGGAGCAGGGGGGCGGGGGGCATGGCCCCCTTCTGGCTCTGCCTGCTGTGCCGCCTGGGCTTCAGCAGGCCCCAGGCCTTTGTGGGCCATGCTCGGTCACACGGGGCGACACTCACTCCGGCGCAGCACCAGGGCCTGCCCGCTTGCCCAGCCCTGCTCCGCGTGGGGGGCGAGGGCAGCATGGCCCTCATAAGCTTTCTGGAACCAAACCCCCCCACCTGCCCACCGCTAGAGACCCCCCTGGACAGGGGTGGCACCGTGAACCTGGAGACAGATGTAGCCCAGACTAAGGACGGTTCCCCTGGGGCAGAAGTCCAGGCTCGGGTCCTGCCCCCAACGGGAGTCATGGCCCTCAGCCCCCACTCTCCAACCACAGCCCCAGTCACCTGGGGCCCCAGCCCAAGCCAAGCCAAAGAATTGCCACGGGCAGCAGGCGAGGTGGGGCCAGACTGGTTCCCTGAGGGGCAAGAAGAGGATGGAGGGCTCTGCCCGCCACCCAACCAAAGCTCACCCACCTCCAAGGAGGGTCCCCCCCTCCCCACCCCGGTGGGCTCGCCCGAAGACCCCAGTGACCCACCACAGCCCTACCGCCTGACGGACGACTATGGCCCGGTGCCTGCAGCCTTCCAGGGCCTCAGCCTGTCCAGCCACATGTCCCTGCTCCACTCCCGCAACTCCTGCAAAACACTCAAGTGTCCCAAGTGCAACTGGCACTATAAGTACCAGCAGACCCTGGACGTGCACATGCGGGAGAAGCACCCCGAGAGCAACAGTCACTGCAGCTACTGTAGCGCGGGCGGGGCCCACCCCCGCCTGGCCCGGGGCGAGAGCTACAACTGTGGCTACAAGCCCTACCGCTGCGACGTCTGCAACTACTCCACCACCACCAAGGGCAACCTCAGCATCCACATGCAGTCCGACAAGCACCTGGCCAACCTGCAGGGCTTCCAGGCCGGGCCCGGGGGCCAGGGCAGTCCCCCCGAGGCCGCTCTCCCCGCTTCTGCAGGGGACAAAGAGCCCAAGACCAAATCTTCCTGGCAATGCAAGGTATGCAGCTACGAGACCAACATTTCCCGCAACCTCCGCATCCACATGACCTCTGAGAAGCACATGCAGAACGTCCTGCTGCTGCACCAGGGGCTGCCGCTGGGCCTGCCGCCGGGGCTCGTGGGCCCAGGCCCCTCTGCCCCACCCGGGGCCGCCCCCACCAACCCTCCTGAGCTCTTCCAATACTTCGGGCCGCAGGCCCTGGGGCAGCCTCAGGCTCCCCTGCCAGGCCCCGGGCTGAGGCCGGAGAAGCCCCTGGAGGCCCAGTTGCTGCTCAACGGCTTCCACCACCTTGGAGCACCTGCCCGCAGGTTCCCCACGCCCGGTAAGCCGCCCTGTGCTCTGCTATCCTCTGCACCCCCAGGGTTGTCCTCCGTTCCCTATTCTTCCAATGGCCCGCGCCCCACCTTCCCAGAGCAAGCCCACCCTGCTCCATTTCTTCCCCACATCACCAGTCTAGTCTCTCTCTGCCCCTCAGCCCCTGGCAGCCTCTCCCCAGACGCCCACCTGCCTCCCAGTCAGCTCCTGGGCTCCTCGCCTGACGGCCTGCCCGCCTCGCCAGCCCTAGCTGAGAGCCCGAGCCTGAAGGCGTTCCGCTGCCTGGTGTGCCAGGCCTTCAGCACCGACAGCCTGGAGCTGCTGCTCTACCACTGCAGCCTAGGCCGCAGCCTCCCAGAGGCCGAGTGGAAGGAGGTCGCTGGCGACACCCACCGATGCAAGCTCTGCTGCTATGGCACCCAACTCAAGGCCAACTTCCAGCTCCACCTCAAGACAGACAAGCACGCCCAGAAGTACCAGCTGGCGGCCCACATGCGGGAGGGGGGCGGGGCCGTGGGCACCCCCTCGCCAGTGGCCCTGGGAGACGGAGCGCCCTACAGCTCCGTCTCCCCACTGCACCTGCGCTGTAACATCTGCGACTTCGAGTCCAACAGCAAGGAGAAGATGCAGCTGCATGCACGGGGTGCAGCCCACGAAGAAAACAGCCAGATCTATAAGGTGGGAGAAGGGAAGCAGCGGGCATCCTGGGGATTGGGAGAGGTGTGCCCCAGGAGTTGGGCGGGGCAGGCAGAGAGGGGATGTGCTAGTCAGGCCCCTTTGGGGAAGACAAAGGGTGCCTGAGGTCTGCGGTGCCCCTCTCGACCGGCGCCCCTCTCTCTCCCTGCTTCTAGTTTCTGCTGGAGATTGAGGGCACGGAAGCAGGGCCTGAGCTAGGGCTCTATCACTGCCTGCTGTGTGCCTGGGAGACCCCCTCCCGCTGGGCTGTGCTGCAGCACCTGCGGGCACCCGCTCACCGAGATGCCCAGGCCCAGAGGCGGCTTCAGCTGCTGCAGAATGGGCCGCCAGCCACCGAGGACGGGCTCTCGGGCCTTCAGAACATCCTGAGCTTCAGTCACAGGCAGCTCCCGGCGGCCGGTGAGGAAGGGGAGGGGGCACAGGAGAGGAGGGGCTGGACCAGTGAGGGCTGTCGAGAAAGGCTGTGTGGCATCAGTATGGAGGAAGACGGCACTGGGTTTCAGGAACTGTGGGGCTGCTGATCGGGGAGGGCAGCTGAGCAGCAGGGCCAGGGCCCTTGAGTGGATGGCAGGGAGAGAGGAGTGGGCAATGATTAGTGTCCAGGGGGCTGGGTGGGGGGG